CACACAAAGTACTAGTGGAGTTCTGATTGTCGCTGATTCAGTTCTCAATCATATAATATTTTTTTATAGCTAAGCTATTTTTTGTTGTTATATGTTGTTATATTACTAACCTCATAAAGGTAGTTTTCTCCATTTGTTTTTCAATGTTTGTTTTTGTACTGCGGTACTGATTTCTTTTGTCAGCCCTTCTTTCATTAGCTGTTTTTTGTTGCAGGTCAAATCCTGGGACTTTTGCTAGGCCCTCAGCAAAAGTGGTATTAAGAGAGGATATTACATGGGCGCCCGGAGATATGGATTTTATCTTGGAGTGTTGAACTGATATCCCACGAGTGAGCGTAGCGAACGAGTGGGATATCTTTTCAACACGAGAAGATAAAATTCATATCTCCAAGCGACCATGTAATGTTCTGTTTATTATATGATAATATACAACGCGTATACGTTTCCACTTTTTACATTCCATAGTGCTTTCTCGTTTTACAGGACATTTCTGCTGCAAGTTTACATTAATATTGAATGTTCCTCCTCTAATCGTCCCAGAAATTAGAGAACCAAAAGCTGAAGAGGCTGCTTGCTGTTCGGCCTTATGACTGACACGATATTCCTCTGTCGACTCAGCAGACATTGATATTACATTGATATCAACACCGGTGGCAGTGGGGATATCAGTTTTATCATTTTGATATTCCCTAGTATCACACTCTATATCATAATAAAATGTTTTCTCAAATAGTGGGGCTACCTTGTCATAAATAGCTTTAGCAGCATTTTTGATGTTTGTGCTTGTGGGTTTAGTTGATGCTTGTTGACCTCTCAGCCTGTTTTAAGTTAAAACTTCTCCAGTTGCTAAAATAGCAAGATTCTCCTTAGCTTTACCCTTTTAATTATATATATAGGAGAATACACAGACACCAGTTTGGGGGTTTCAAGGGCTTTATTAGCCTAAACCGCGCGTGACCATAAACCCCCCAGCAGGGAGGGGTGGGTGGGTAGCGCGTAGTATGTAGGACCTCTAGGCTGAGCTGTATGCTGAAAGTGATGTACCTCGTGCTGACATACTATCTAGGCGGATACAGTTACAGGCCGCTGTTAACCGTGAAAAGCTCGAGTTTGTTAATGTGAGCATCTTGTAAGTCGGGATAATCGATCGCCCAGTTAGTGTAAAACCAGTCGGTATGAAAATGAGCCGCTCCACCGTTGAGACAGGCATCGGTGGAAAATTGTTCGATCTGTGTAGGCTCGTTGTCTACGAAAAAGGTTATTCCATTAAATGTGTCCATAAAGTCGATCCACCATTGCAGATCGTCGCGCATTGACTGTGTTAATCGCTTGTGGTGATGGGGCCGTTTGAGGTTGTTTATGTGGTCGATTAATCGACGTAAAAACGTGCCGCCGCCATATACTACTCTCGCTGCAAAGTTTAGTTTTCCCGCGAGGGATTGTAATTCGCGCTTGGTCATCTTTGTTCACTTGCTCGCTGTCTGTAAGGATGATTTTATTTCGCATAGTTTTGAGTCGGGCAGTATCAGTTGCCTTTTGACGCTATTTATTTCAATTTCTAGGTAAATTAGAGACTGTGTCGGGGCAGTTACTTTGTTCCAGTTAATTGCGAAGCCAAGGCTTTGAAGTAGAGATAATAACTCCCTGTAGGCTTCCCAACATTGAGATTCCGTATCGGCAATGATAAGGAAATCGTCTAAATATGCTAATGTTGTCTTATCGCGGCGTAACATCATGCGTGTGACAGATTGTGTGATGCGAATCGCCTGAGAATGTCCATTTTAAACCCGTTGCAGCGTAGTTTGATGGACGAATGGGAATGTGGCGATAAGCGCTTTTCAAATCAACTTTGGCCATAAAGGCTCCAGGTTTGATTAGTTTGCACGCTCGTTCGACGGTTTCGTAGGCATAATGTTCACACGTGGCATATGAATTTACGCTAGCGCCCTCGGGACGGCTACAATCGTGTATCAAACGCACATCGTTGCTGTCTTTTTTGGGAATTGCTCCCAAGGCGCTAATTATGGTTGGTTTAGTTTGAGATATTACATAGTTCCCTTGAGCAATTTCGCTTGTTATTTGTCGTTCAACTTTGTCTCTGATAGCATTGTCTGTCGCTGATTTGTAATTGTACACTTCCGCGGTATCTATTATGTCATGTGGTATGTTGAGAATGTTGAATCCATTTGTTATTCCGTCAATCAAAAAGTCTTTGTCAAAATCATTTTTCAGTTCTGTTCGCCATGTTTCTAGTTTTAAAGGAGAGTTGGTGGCATGTGGTTGTCAAAACTGTTGTGGCGGATATGTAGTGGCTT